TTTTTATTAAATGCATTTATATGTTCAAGAGGATTATGTCTATCCCTTTTAATTTATGACTTGATTTGAATAACATGCTATGAGGATCATGTCTGTCTCTCATGGTTCTAATTGCTTTTTGAGATAGTTTAAGACTTGTGGTATATTGTCTTGGATGTATCATAATAGAAATTTTTCTACTATGATAAGGGTTCAATGAAAAAAAAATGAGTTGTTGAATTAATAATTTGCGAAAAATCGGTTTGTAAATTTGAGGGTGTGACAAATGGTGCCAAAAACAAACCTCTCTACATCCATAGAACAAAAATATCATCATTGTCTAACTCTTGAAGCTTAATCAATATAAAACTCTACACACTATTTTTATCAACTCATAATCACTACTTATTCACACCTAATGGGCTCATTAAGTTCTATTAATTCACATTATCATTAACAACACTTCAAACCATCATTAATGCACATTAACATCTCTCACCTTATAAATATCAATTTTCAAATAATAAATGCTCCTATGGACCAACCACTTTCAAAATTATCAATATGGTGTCCCAATACATTATACAACTCCTATTATACTTATTTTAACTAATGAGATTGGACCCATACTCATATGGATTGAAAATTCATCTCCTAACTCAAACCCTACCGTAAACTATCATAAAAGAGGGAGAGAAAAGAAAAATGAGGCTTAGATTACCTATCTTGAATGTTTGAGAGCTTTAAAACGTCAACAATAAGAGCCAATATGTGTGCCCTAGCAGAGCCTTTGCATTCTATTTGTTTTCCTCTTCCTCTTCTCTTCTGTTTTCACACGCAGAACAAATCAAATATATATGATTTTTTACTATGCGCTGCGGCGCACGATGCCCTCCGCCATAACGCATGACACAAAGGAGCGTATTACATTTAAATTGTCTCTGCTTGCCTTAGCAGACCAACCACGCATCGCGGTGTGTGGCATAGAGAACGATTCTTCACTCTTTTTTCCTCTTTCCTTGCCTAGATAGTCTGCCATCAATTCGGACCCACTTTTAGAGTTGAAATCACAACAATTATGCCAAGTTAAGCCCCTCTGACCATACACCTCATTAACTCACTAATTTCTCTCATTAGGTTAACAAACCAAGGTTAAAATTTTTCAGATGTTATAAGAAGCACTGGGTTTCTTTTACCAAATTATTTTTGCAAGTTATTTATTTTTATGAGTTTATTAGAAAACCTTAGATTTTTGCTGTTTGACATTTGAATTCAAACCTTGGTCATTTTTGAGTGTTAAACCATTTCTCAAATAGATTTTGTTAATTAATTTTCATTAGCACTTTGTCTCCCCATCGGCTCAATGCTTAATGTAAATAATGTTCTTGTAACTGAGACTTAATAGTGTTTAATTCGATGATTATGAGCCCAACATTCATGTCTTTTATAATAGGCATAGGTGTGGACAGAACGATGTGCTTGCCTCTTGAGTTTTTGAGGCTCTTCTTTTCTCCTTCGACTGTGTTCTGCTTCATCTGAGTTTGCTAGTGTTTGTTGTTTTGTTACCTTGTGTTTGCAGGAAGTGCTTGTTTAATCATGGAGAACTGTCGGTTCACCAAACCAGTGTGCCGAAGTAGTTCTTAAGAACAGTGTGCTTCGATATGACTCAAGTAGCTCTCGGTTTCCTACCTAACGCCAACAGTTACTCACTTTGAAAATCTCTTTTAATAAGTTGACACGTAAATTTTAGCAAAATAAAATATTCACTTAAGCTTTTGACATGCAAAATTTTAGTAGTAAAGACAAGTAAACATTTAAAAAAATCACTCCATATTAAATTTTTTAACAAGTCCCAATTAATAATTTAAGAAGTAATCATTTGTGAAATGACAAATTACATTACTAACTTTAAAAATTTACCTTGACAATTTGACTAACAAGTCTCTATTGATAATTTAACAAGTAACTATTTGTAAAATAATAAGTCCCATTATTAGCCTTGAAAATTTCTCTTAATAATTTAAAAAATAAATTTTAATAAAATAACAAGTTTATATAATCTCTTAACACATAAGCTTTTGGTAATAAAAAAATAAATATTTATAAAAATTATTTCATATTAAATTTCTTTAATAAGCCCCCGTTATTAATTTATCAAGTAACTATTTGTGAAATAACAAGTTATGTTATTAGTTTTAAAAAAATTTCTTAATAACTTGACAAGTAAATTTTAGTAAAATAATAACTTCATGTAAGCTTTTGACATGTAAGATTTTGATAATAAAAATAAGTTAACACTCATAAAAATAATGCATATTAAATTTTTTAACAAATCTTGTTAGTAATTTAATAAGTAGCCATTTATGAAATGGCAAATAAACATTAAGCTCCCTACAAGCATTGACATAAAAAGTAAAAATAAAATAATATATATATATATATATATAAAGTTTTACATTATTATAATTGAAACTATCCATTTGGTAGCTAAGGGGATATGGGTTCAACCCTCTCCTTAGCCTTTAAAAATTTATATTGTCTCCCTCACTAATTTAATGATTGGTGCTAAAGCTCTAGTAGGCAGTTTAGCCACATGCACTAGAGCTCCAATATTCAATCCAACAAGGTGGTCTAACCACCGATGGACGATGATAGTGGGGATTTTTTAATAAACATAAAGAAAGGATAGTTTTATTTTTTCACTAAAATTTAATTACATCTTGATACCTTGATCTTGCGAAGTGAATTCAAAATCCTTTAATTCTTTTATATATATATATATATATATAAAGAAAAATGCTTTAGAAGTCCTCCATCGTGATTTTCCCCACTGATTGCTGAACTTACCTGTAGTCCCAGGCAAGTCCTTGGCTATGAATAGCATTTTTGCAAAAACAAAAAGACCCATTTGTCCTTGCATTTTCCTCTCCCTCCCTAAAAGCCCCTTCTCGCCTTTAACCTCAATTGGTGACGCCTTCCTTAACTACATATAGGGCTGCACAAAAGACAGGATAATACTAAACTTCACTCTAACCTGAAGTCCAATCTCTTTCATGAAAAGAATTGGATTAGGTAACCCGTAGTTTGGTCTTGTTCAGTGATAACCTGAAAATTAACAAGATTGGACTTGGTCTATAGGAGTAGGAGACTGGTCTTGTTAGTCCAGCACTTACTTAGCCTTTTCTTTTCTTTTTTATTCTATGAGAGGCAATAATCCATTTTAACATAATAAACTCAATTAAGATAGTAAAAACACTTATAATAATAATAAATCCATAATAATTTTCAACAATAAGAAAAAAAATATTTCTGTTATAGTCCAAATGATTTAAATTTATAACTTTAATAAAAACATCACTTAATAAAATTCAACAACACTACATTACAACAATAATTTACAAACAAACTCAACAAATCTTCATACAATCATATCCTTAGCATCAATTACACTTCAAACATTTGTCAAAAATAAATTAATTATAATTATAAAAAAAATTAATAGGACTGAATTGGATCAAGTGATCCGGATGCTTAGTCTCTTGTTTAGTCCAACTCGAAGAAATAGTCTGATCTTTTTAGTTTTGAAAAATCAGTGTTTATACAAACCGAATAAGATTGAGACCATCTCAAGTTGGACTAAATCAAACAAGATTGAAAGATTTTTACACGGCCCTAGCTATACACACACATGCCTCGCAAATTCCATAAACAAAGCAGAAAGTTCAAACCTTCACACTCATCCTTCTCTCTATCTCACCATCACTCTCTCTCCTTCCACTTCAGCTTTTCTTTTAGAAGAGCCCAAAAGAATCAATCTTCCATGGACACCAATATTGGAGCTATCGATGCATGTAAACCTGCCAGGAATGACATGGGTGGCCCCACAAAGCAATCTTGAGCCTTGGATTCTTGGATGACAAGAGATTGGAAGTGTCTGTTGGGGTTATTTGGAGGGGACAACGAGGATGATTATGCAGCGGCGGAATGAACGAGAGCAAGATCATCGAGATTGATTTCGTGGGAAATGGGGACAAATTGTCCACCACTTCTAGCTAAAGGCAGTAGATGAAGGATCTTCGAGAAGGTGGGAGTTGGTATTGCCGATGAGGGCGAGGCGAGAGAGGAGGGTTTTTGAAGGAGGGATCGCAGTCAATGAAAGAAGGAAATGCCAGGAGGGCACATGGGTCATTTTCATTGCAATGTTATTCATAGTTAAGGGCTTTGGGAATGAATCCTTATTTCAGCAATTAGTGGGACTTTAAGGCAATTGTAATTGTTATGGGGAATTGTAGAGTGATTTTTGCTTCTTCATTTTTTCCGTTTAATTTTTTTCCCTAATCTGATTGGGCTTCTTTGAAGCTTCCTAATAGATTTTCTTGACCCAATCTAGTTGAATTTGGGTTAAAATGTGACTCAGAATGCTAATGGACCAGAGGTACTGGGCATCCTTGCTAATTAGTTGAGTTTAATTTTTATTTTCCCGTCAAAGTTATAGAATGATTCTTGAAAAAAAATATTTTCCATATATTTAATGTATATATTTAATGTATATATTTAAAATGAATTTCATTAAGTATCTCAAATCCTCCCACCGGATAAAATGTCTGCCGTGTTACTATAGAGATCATGGATTTAACGAAACGGTTAATGTAGATGTTGGTTGTGAAAGGCGTGATTCATTTTTTTTTTAAAAAAAAAATGCAAGGTGTAACTCCGTTATGGAATATATATAACCTTCATAACTCATGAGCAAATTCTTTAGAAAATTTTCTCCCCTTGATCCCAAAATCTTTGAACAAAGTGGCTTACAAAACTGAAGAGAGAAAGACGAGACAAGTGAGTGGGTGGATTTACAAAACTGAACAAAGTGGCTTACAAAACCGTAATTACAATCATGCGACAATAGAACGTTAGCCATATTGTTATGGTAACAATCCAGAGGACCACTTGGCACTTGGTACAGTTGATCTCCATTACAGATGATTCCCATAATGGAGGATGGAGTATCGACAAATGAAAAGGATGAAGATGATCATGCAGGCAGGCATGTTGGGTGGGGCCTATGTATTGCCCCTATACACTGCTGAGGAGGACCCAGTCAACTTGCAAATACATGACAAAGACCTACAAATAATTCATCACAGTACGTAGTAATTATCAATTTCAAATAATTGGACAAACAAAGGTCTCATATCATCACAGAATAAGACCATTACTTTAATTTCTCTCCCTTTATTTAGCTTACTGCAAGAACATTTGTGGATACAAATTATATATATGACAAAGCATAGTCTTTACATAGACTATAGATGGCACTCTAATTGACCCTCCTGCAATTAGTTCTAATCTCGCCTTCGTCATCAGTCAAAGGATTAATGTTTCCCATATTGATCATGGACTGAGCAAAGCTATCGAAGAACTGGCTTTGACTGGCGGCGAAATTGTTGACAAGATCGATGGTGTCGGCAGCAGAGAAGAGCTCCTGATCGGACTGGAGAAGTCCACGATTGGTCTGAAGGTTAGAGAAGTAGTTTTTGTCGAAGGTATCAGGAGTGGAGAAGTCAAGGTTGTTCAAGGAAGATGGGTTACCACCTCGAGGGCATGCTTGGCGAAGGGTTTGCAAGAAAGAAGCATCTAGGGTTGAATCAGGTTTGGTAGTGTTCATGAAGTTGAATAAGCGATCTTGGAACAGTAAGCACCTTGCCCTCCCAAACGTATGTGCACCTGATATATACATATATATATATGATCCAGATAATTAAGGATTAATTAAATTAAATTAGTGAATATTCTTGTAAATGAAATGAAGCAAATTTGGGTATAAAAATTATTACCAGACAGAGCAACGACATCAGTAATATCAAGTCCCTTAGAAGCGAACTTGGCGGTAATGTTGGCGAGTCCTTCTCTAGGATTTGGAATTTTCTGAGCCTCCTCAGGGTTTGCTTTCCTACTATCTCTTCTTCCCAATTGAACCTCCCATGTTGGGCCTCCAGCCTATACGTGATCACCCACATAAATAAACTTACCCATCCATGCACACATTTAATGTGGGTGAAATTGGTTAGGGAAAATCACTCTCAAGTCTCATATAAAATGAATAAATAAGATCTCATAAAATTATAAAGTAACTGAAGTCTTGTATTCATTAGCTATACTGTGTTAATTTACTCTATTGGAATTGTCAATTACTTGATATGAACCTGAAGGACAAGTTTTTCACTTTTGGAGCAATTTTGTAATTTAATAAGACTTTTTGCATTTAAAATTCTTCATGTGCGATTTAAGAGTGATTTTCCCAATTAATTACTAACCTATGATGTTTTTTTTTTTGATAAATAAGAAACAATCAAAACAAACAGCAAATAAAAACTAAAACTCCTCCATGAATGAAGGAATAGAGTCACCAGCCATTACGTGAAGACGCATGGGGAGAGATAAGGCACGTTTCGCTAAGGAATCAGCTTCTGAGTTGAACTCTCTTCCAATGCATTTCATATCAATCTGCCAGTCTCTTTGAAGTATTTGTTGAATTTCAGCAATAAGCTCTCGGTCTAACCTATGATGTTTTGATTACACTATAAAAATTCTAAATAGCTAGCTAGCTAGTATATAGTCATAATAATGCAACTTACTTTTCATTGTGCGTGTTATACACGAGACCTCTATTGATTAGAGAGAGAAAAACATCAGTTTTGGGATTTCCAAACTTAAAGTTGAATTTGATGGATGGAAAATATCCAAAATTGATTGAATTACCAAACAAACAGAAGCTTCAGCAGCGATGGCCAAAATGTCGGCGCAAGAGACAACACCGGGGCAGGCCTCTTCGAGGGCTGCTTTAATGTCGTCAACGACGGAAAATCCAGCCACCGAATTATTGTTGGGAACTGCTTGCTTCTCAGATACAATCCCATCTGCATTGTCCAACAATATTGACCCATCACAGCCCTAGCTCAACAAATTAAACCCACAACATATGTAACATTTATCAGTACAGATTAAATCCAACATCATGACGAGAGATTAATAATGGATGGTAAATGGAGAGCAAATATAGTGATGATGGATTACTTACATCAACAAAACAATCGTGGAAGTGAAGACGGAGGAGTTTGGCTCCGATTCTGACGTCACTCAAAGCAGCTTGCTCGATCACACTACGGACGATGGTAAAAACGTCAGGGCACGTGTCGTCATAGAACGTAGAACATAGCTGAGCCTTTGAAGCTCCGAATAATATGGTGGTGGTGAATGCGAAGAAGCTCAACATGGGAACGACCCTAAACGACGACATTTTTTATGAGCTCTTAAACTAAACAAACTAATTATATCTAAGGACCGAAGAGGATGCGGAGATATAAAGAAGAATGAAGCAAGTGGTTTTTATAGAGTGGACGCGCGTCTTAGCTTGTGTTGAGCTGTATCCATTATTGGCCAAGTAAAAGAGTGTCATCACCCTCACTTCTTCATTTATTTTGTAGGCTTTTATGTATATGTTAGTAGGTCAGGACTTTTCAAACACAACAGTGATTTCTCCACTTGTATGGTAACGACAGTTGAGGTTGCGAGAAAAACGACACTCAATAATTGTGCGTCGCTACATGTGTGTGTTGTGCATTATCTCCTTGGATAGATATCGAAGGGAAATCTCATTTTCTGGGCACAATCACAATTTGTTAATCGCGATAAGGCAAAATTAATTAAAATAAAGATTACTCCTCTAGTTCTTATTACAATATATATAGATATCCAACATTTTCATGCATATTCATTCTTAAAAATAAAAAAAACAAATCATCTAAAAATTTCAGTTTTACCCTTATTATAGAGTACTCCTTCCATTTTTATTTATGAGAGAAATTATCGCTTTTAGTTTATTTTTTTATATAAGCAAAATCATGTTTTTCAATAGATATTTATTGCAAACTTCCTAAATTATCCTTTATAATTTTATCATTTATAATCATCAGAAATAATAAATAAAAGCTTGATTAACACAATTAATAAAAAATATTGTAGTCTAATTCTTTTATTTTTAAAAATAATTAATATAGTTAACTGATTTTTTTAAATAGTGTGAGGGAGTAAGTTACAGTCACTTCTTTTCATAATTTTTAGAAGATTCTTTAACAAGACCAGAGATTAAAATATCCAAACATTAGAGAATATTGCATTATATCCCTTATGTTGTGGACAATTTTATTTTTTCAAAGAACAACTCCTACAATAAGGAATGTTGTCCCAGGAACTCAGAATTGTGTGAAGTTTAGTTTTTTGCATGTAGATAACCCTACAAGAAACAGGTTTTCTCACAGCATAATACGTTACTGATGAGGATTTCTTGCGGAGTTTTTCAGGGAGAAGGATTGACCGTGAACACTTTTAATTAAGTGCAAAACTTATATACTTACTCTTATATAGTATTTAATATACTTTCATCCAATCAAATCAAGACATATAGATTTTAATATGTTAATATTATTAATAACACAAATTTGTTATAGAATAAATAATCTATAATAGATATATATGTTTTGCTTTAATTGAGAATAAGTACTTTAATTATATATAGTTAAATATATAATGTTTTTTCATTAATTAAATACAGTGTTTTGATGTTCAGAATTAAGTGACTTTTAAAATAAGGGAAAATAACAAATAGGGAGCTCATAAGAAGATTAATACTAAATCAAGTGAAGATTTCAGTACTGAAATATGAGATAATGGGTACTGATTTAGAAATCTTAATTATGAAAGCTCCTAATTTGACATTAATTTTTTATAAGGTCCTTATTTGCCATTCTTCTTTTAATTGATTAGTATTGAAACTTAACAAAATTAGGATATACTCCCTTCGATCCAAAATATAAACATTTTCTTTTAATTAATTTCAGTCCAAAATATAACCAACTTCATATTTGTAAAAATAATAATAATAATAATTTTACCCCTTGTACTTGAATTCTCTATATGAATTTATGAATTTTTTTATACATATTATAAATTGCAATTAGGGATAAAAAATAATATATATTCATTCTGTTAAAAAATGTAAGACATTTTTAATTAAATCTCACTTCCAATAAAGTAGTTACCTACTTTCAAACTAATTCTATCTTTTCATATTTATTCCTATTAAATACCCTACAATAAACCTAAAGTCATTATCAATAGGAGCATTTTTGAAAAAAATGCAATAATTACACCTCAAAAGACTAAAAATGCCTTATATTTTTTAGCACCCAACTTTTTAAAAAATGCTTTATATTTTTTAACAGAGAAAGTATATATATTTACAAAAATAAAGATTTTATCCATATGAAAATTATTATTAAAAGATATTTATATTTTAGATGAGAGTATGCCTTATCATGATAGAAATCATAAATGGATAACAAATGGAGCCTACCATCACTGTCCAATGAAACAAACAAAAGACATGGTGGCTTGAAACGAATCCAACGCCAAACAACTCAAATTACTAAAGCGTGCATAATTGATAAGAATTTCAAAAAGACTCTATGACTAAAGATATTAAAAGCCAGAATCCTATAATTTTTTAAATTTTACTGTAGTTATTGGGTACATAAATGACAAAATTGCTATTCATTCAAATTTACAACATACACTAGATAAGATCATTTATTCATTCTCATACTGCATATTGTTTATTAACTAATGAAATATTGTTTATTTTTCTACTTTACTTGTTTAAATCCCTTAGAATGAAATCAAGTAAAATTAGGGGTATAAACAAGTAAAGTAAAGTAATTAATAATATTTCATAAATAAGTGAATAATATATAATATGAGAATGAACAAGTCATCTTATCTATTGTATGTTGTTTATTTAATTGAGAGCAATTTTATCAATTTTATCAGAAATTTAATTTCAATTCAATACCAAGTAGTGAAATTTTAAAAATTTTAGGGTTTTCTTTTTTAATATGTTTGATTAAGGAGTTTTTCTTTAAATTGTCCCTAACTTAATTACTAAAGCCTAATATAATTGAACATCGATAGGACCCGGTTGAACAGATATTTAAGAAAAAGACGACAATATTTTACCCAAAAAAAAACTTTTGGTGGTGATTAGTGATTACTATGCCACAAAAAAGACGACGTACGACACTTTTCAATTTCAAACAGTGTCGTGAAAGCGCAGAACACGTCCTCATGTGACGGAAGGAAATTCGATGTCCCTCCCTCATGGCAACTAATCATAAAAGGTAGTGATGAAATGGTGATTATATCTTGTACATGACATCTCGTACTATTTTTTTTTTAAAAAAAATGATGAATCAATATTTAAAATCTCAATCCCCGTGCTCTTGAGGTTATTTTTCAATTATGCGGTTCCGTATTTTTATTTTAAATTATAAAATATTTAATATTGATCCCACCATTTTTATATTTTTTTAATGATATGAAATTACTAATATCTCTCTCTCCTCCACTTTCTTTATGTTGGGATCTTCGAAATCAGCACGATCCAATGACTCCATTCCGGTAGTTAAATAATCTTCATGAACAACTCCATTTTTAGACTTTTTTTTTTTTGCCATCCATTTTTAAACTTTGAAATGCCTTTGTATGGTGTCCTAGTATGAACAGAGTCAATAGTGTGAACATTGTCACTGATGTACCACAAGCACGTACGGATCTAACACAATATAGCAATTTAAGGTCGTTTCACAAGAAACTAATTAAAAGGAATTGGCACAAGAAAAGTTGTTTTTGTCTCAACTAAGTTATCCAATCAAAAAGTGAAGTTTTTATTAAATTAAAAATATGAATAAAATAAAATAAGGTCAAATAATATATTCAAGTTAAAATTAACAATTGTTAAGGACAGAATTGCTCTCTAATTAAATTGTCTAGTAACTTTTTGGATAAATTGAGGGAAAAAAATATTAAAAGACAAGGACAAATGTACTCTCTCCATCTCAAATTATAGGATATTTTTAAAATAATTTTTTCATCCCAAAATACAAGACATTTTGGATAGAATAATATTTCATTAAATGGGCTAATTCCTATATTTTCTTTTCTCTTTTTATAATTAATTTTCATCCCTTCTCTTTTTAATATATTAAATGATGGATATTTTTAAAAATTTATATCTTTTTTAGAAAGATAAGGTTGTTAGGTATATTTAATGAGGTTTATTAGTATGTAAAATTTTATCTAAAAATATCTTATAATTTGAAATGAAGGAAGTATATGGTGATGACTTCTCTCAAAGCAGCCATAGGATGTCGGCCGAAAATAAAGCCATGGGACGTGAATATTTTTTAAATCTTATTGTTGATCTAGCGGCTAGCCATTTGCATCACGAGCTTATATTCTCTGAAGTTAAAGATCATAGAACTATTTGCAATTTATTGTTTCAAGTATTTAATTTATTTTTATTCAGACTTTTTTAATTTATTTCTTTCATCCTCGTTCTTCCCAGCAACCAAACGATTGAATGGCTAATTAATTCTCCCCAGGACCCCAGCAACCAATCGAGTGAACGACTAATTAAGAAGTGGCATGAGTACCTCATATTATTAGGCATAGTCAGACTATTAACAGAATTAACTGTAAAGTTTACAAAATTGTATATATTGAAAATCAAAATATATCGTTAAACGTTAAGATAATATTTGACAATATCAATATCACGGTGAACTTCGTTGACATCTAATTTGGATGAATTTGTTGGCTAAAAAAACTAACCACACGAGCTATATATATATATATATATGCATTATGGTTTGTTTAATTTTGCTTCTACTTTTATTTTTATCAATTATTTTGTAAATAACTTTTTTAAATTTTCTTAAAGCAAAATAAAAAATATATTTAATTTTTTTAATTTGAAAACAATTTTGAAGTTAGAAATCCGACCGATAGTAGTAGTTGTGAAATTCTACTCTCTTTTTTTTTTCAAACAATATAAAAAATATATTACATATTAATTAAATGAGAGATCATATATTTAAGTACATTATTATATATATTATTTAAAAATAAAAATATACACATTCTTATATTTTTGTTATTTTTTATTTTGATTTTTAAACATTAATACCCAAAATTTTTTTTAAAAAAAAACTAATAAGTTTTTACTCCTCTGATTCTATTTATAGGGTAAAGAGAGAAAAAAAAATTAATTCTATTTCTAATGCACTTGTCAATTTTCAATACTCCTCTTTACATTTTTACCCTTATTAAATATTTTGAATAAAAATATTAGTAATAAGATTTAAGAATATTTATTAGGGATAAAGGTAAAAATTTGTTGAATTTTATGAGAAAGCTAATGAGTTTTAATTTTTTTCTTAATTTCAATGAAACATGCTGAAAGTAATTTATAAATAGGATTAAAAAAAGTATATTTTTAAGTATCCAAAAAATATATTTTATATAAAATAAAAATAATTAATTTTAAAG